TGATAATCTTTAATTAAATATAAGTGCTCACTAGTTTAGCTAAATTAAATACATATTGTTGTCTACGGAGCATATATTCATTTTTCTATCCCAAGTCTCAGCAGTATTAGATCCAAGCAGATTCTCAATTTGTTATTGGCCTGATTTAGAACGATTTACTTGAATAAAAAGAGTGCTTATTTATAATAAAAAATATATATAAAGACTATATATTTATTTGCATACCAATGGATAGTGATATTGTTGGAGACATGATTTACCACTTTTACTACCACCCTATCACCTTCTCGAGCATAAATGGGAGGGCCGGGGAACTTTCCGTTGACCGTCACCATGCTCTTTGTATGGCACAATCGGGTTACATTTTGGAGACGAATCTGTTTAGGACAATTCAAATTATTTGAAAGACAAAAATCTACCTTTTTAAAATTATACATTCATAGGATATTAGGATATATGGCATTTTTGAGGAGTTGAGTATTATTATAAACCTCTTTAACATGTACTACAATCGTCTCATATTGAATGTCTTGTTTTAGTTTGACACGATTATTAAAAATTGATTTAAAAATAAAAGTTATGCTTGACATTTGAGTAGAGTACGTACAAATTTACAAATTGACATATAAAGATTTCATATGTAAAAAATTTATACTTGTATATGTATTACCTGTCTTTTGTTGTTGATCATTTTCCAAAATATTAATGAACATAAGTTACTATTACTAAAGTTATTACATTATATTTTCTATAACCCGCAATAATTCTTTTTTTTTATTGTCTAGATAAACTAAAGTCCATATTTTATACTCGGAGAGAATTTAATTTGATGGCTCACCTTTTCCATTCCTAATTAAATTCTAACCTTGCAGTTAAATTCATACGTAATATTATTAATTATTAAAAGCGTGTTAAATAAAATTTGAAGTATTTTAGAGAAAATACTAGTAAATAATATACAGTAAATACTTATTTTGAATTAATATACAGAAAAGTAAATAATACTATACTAATATCAAACCAGAGAAGAAAACGTAAATATGGAATGAACAGTAGAAGAAAGGGTGAAGATAAATAAAAAAAATGAACAAGAAGGTACGACGAATGTACCATTTAATTTTCACGAATCATGCATGTAATCTAAATTACTAAATACATGCATATATATTCTAAATACTCCGAATCAGTTTCTTAAAAAGTAAAAACCAAATACTATTAATTAGTTATTGCTATATATCTACGTATGCATAATTTAAAAGAAGCAAAAGATCGATAAGAAATGAGTACATCAAACTTGTAGTGTCGTGTGACAGGTCCATGGGCAGCCATTGCCACTTGAGGAAACCCCAAAAAGCAGCTTATGATAAGAGCAAAAGTGGCAAGAATAATTGCCCATGACATTTTCATCCTTTTCTTTCCCTTATTTAACTTTAACACTTAGAGGGGAAAGTTTGAGGATGCAAAGTAATGAGTGATCAGATAATGGATTTTGCAATACTTGATTTAGAGTGATATTTATATTGGGAATTTTATTGAGGGGAAAAGTGTTTGGTTGATTAGGTAATAGGACAACTAACGTGATGTGGCTGGAGACCAAGTGTATGTTAACGTTGATCCATCTTACCTTTGAAGTGTTGTTAAAGTGAATCATCAATTACTAGGTTGACCAGCTACTTTGTTTCTCTTATAAGTCTGCTATTCTTCTCGACTTTGTTTCTGTCATTTCTGATACCATAAGGAGTATTACATTAAATTAGGTAGGATAATTAGTTGCTCTTACTCTGTTAGTATTTTTTTTACTCCGGGGTCTGGGGGAGGGCCGGGGGCTGGGGGGCATGGAGTAATCAGGACAGAAACTCACTCCATTGAGTTTCGAATTTGAAACATCCCACTAGACATGGTAACCTCACAACCAGGCTGGGATATAATGTAATGCTTGGTTACTACTATCTGTTACGGAGTAGTATATATGAATAATAATAATAATAATAATAATAATAATATGGGCTCACTAATTAATTATCACCAAGATATTCTACTTATATGAAATTATATGAAAGTATCTTTTTTCCACCCCACCCCAATCATGGGCGGAGCTAGGGGTGGGCCAACCTAGGTCATGGCCCACCCCAAATTTTAGAAATGGTTTAACTTTTAAGGTAAAAAATTCCGTATAATTTTTTTTCTAAAAAAATTCTTTGTACCGACCAGTGGCGGAGCTATGTTGGTGCAAAAGTGTTCTCATGAACACCTAAAATTGTAAAATATAACCTAATATACATGTATAAATTTAATTTAATTATTTATTTCCTTTTCAAATTTTATTTATAGAAAATATATGAACACCCATAATCTGAAACATAGATCCGCCACTGGTACCGACCCAGTCCAGCCCAGTGTCCGCCACTGTCCGGGCTCCGCCCCTGACCCCAATGTTTTACTTGCTACTCACCTATATATACCCTAAGTACAATAAGGAGTATTAAATTAAATTAGGTAGGCTAATTAGTTATTCTCAGTGTGAATAATATTAAGGGCTCACTAATTAATAATCACTCAGATATTCTACTTATAATACTCCGTAATATAGTAATATACTATGTACTAGAAATACCGTAGGGCATAGCTAGCTAGTGTCATCCCGTGCTATTCTAAGTTCGGTAAAAATCTTATACTTCGTATTTTATTGAATTGGCAAAAAAGTTATTATGCCATTAAAGTATGAAGTTATTATTGAATTGGCATAGCTAGGGAGTATGAAGTTATATGAAATTAAAGTATCTTTTTTTAATTTTCCATCCCACCCCAATGTTTTACTTGCTACCCCACTAGACTAACCTATATACTTATTGCTTACATTAGTATAACCTTAATTTGTGTATGAAGAACTGTGTGTAGGTTGCACTTTACTTGCAAATTCAAAATGCTAATTAGTAATTACACAAGTTTGTACTAATTATAATAATATCTCTGATTTCAGATTGAATATGTGCAACACACTCACATATAGGGTGATAGTCAGGGATGGATTTGGGGGGGTCGATCGCCCCCTTGAACTTTCAAAATTTTCTACTATATACGGAGTATGTAGTATTTTTATAAAATTTTCATGTTTAATTTTAATTAGATGTATATGTTTTCGCCCCCCTTAACTTTTAGTTTTCAAAGTTAAGGGAATATATTGTCTTACATAGTGTAATATACTTAATTGAGTATTTAAAAGAAGTAAAATCTAAAATAATTTAGATAGTTTAAGACTTAGGATGTCTATCATATAAAAATTCGTAGCTCTGTAATATTTAATTATCTTTATTAAAAAATTAGTACTAAATTTTGTAAAAGATCAAACGATATTAAATACCAAACACACTAGTTAAACAATTTTTAAATCATGTGAAGGGAATCCAAAATATAAATGTTTGTTGACATTAAATTATACAATTCATTTAGTTCTTACTTTCTAAAAGCAATTTATTGCATAAATAATAAACTTTAACATATTTTAGCTTTAATACAAATATAATATGCCCCATATATATGAATTAACAATACTGAGCCCGTTTGGTAGCACCAAAATCGGCTGTTTTGGCTGATTCTGCTGAAATTTATGATATTCTGGCTGGAGTGGCTGTTTTGGCTGATTCTGTTGTTTTAAGAAAAAAATATTTTAAAAATATATTTTATTAATAAATTAAAGAAAAAATTATATGTAAAAATAGCTAAAATGATCCTCTACAGTAACTTCAGCCAATACAGCCAGAAAAGTAACCCCAACCTTACTTTTTCGGCTTATTACACAATTCAGCGCGCGAAAGTAAAAGTTACGTGTTTGGTGAAAAAGCTGGCTGATAAGCCTGATAAGCCGAAAACAGAGTTTTCCAAACGGGCTCACTATGTATAATATTATTCTACATAGCGAAAAAAAATTGTCCCGCTACATTAGTGAAAAAACTTGCCCCGCTACACTAACAAATAAAATTTCGCCTCCTACACTAACGAAAAAAGTTTCGCCCCCTTGACTCGAAATCCTGGATCTGTCCCTGCCATGATAGTCAATGTTGATAATACTAGTATTACTAATAAGTAAGGGGTGAATCATTGTCACAAAGATGCTTGATCACTTGCTCGACAAAAGTGAGGATGAGAAGTCAGAACTCAGTTAAATTGGTGGAAATGAATTCATTTCCAAACTAGTTTGTCTTGCACAACGAGCACATAGAGCACAATGCAGCAGGCAACAAACTAGTCTTCGACTTAGCATATGTCTTGTAAAGTATGGTTTGTTTCATATAACACAAAGGGGTGAATCACGGACGGATCTAAGGGGGGCGCCGGGGGCGATCGCCCCCCTTGGACTTCCAAAATTTTTACTATATATGTAATAGTTTCATAAAATTTTCACACTTTAATTAGATATATATGTTTTCGCCCCTTTTAACTTTTAGTTTTCAAAATTAATATATAGACTCACATAATGTAATATTTAATTGGAGATTTAAAAGAAGTAGAATAAAAAATAGTTTACATAACTTAAACAAATAAACAATCGAACTCATTGTATAAGACTTAGGATACCTAAAAATTATTAATTTTGTAATGTTTAATTATCTTTATTAGATAATCAGTACTCGATTTTGTAAGATATCAAACAATATTGAATATCAAATACATTAGTTAAATAGGGAGTATAAATGTTTGTTAAATTACACACTTCGTTCCTCTTACTTTCTAAAAACAATTTGTTGAATTGATAATACTTTAACGTATTTTAGCATTGATACAAATCTAATATGAATTAACATTACTATGTATCATATTACTCTAAGAGCCCATTTGTTATAATTTAAAGTAAACACTTTGCACGTAAAGTGGAGGGGAGTAAACATTTTACACCGTTTGTTTTAATTATTTAATGCAAACTGTAGGACACTTTTTTTAAAACACTTTACACTGTACCACGTAAAATATGGGGGAGGGTAGCAAACTAGTTTACATTCAGGGGCGGATCCAGGAAATTTAGTTATTGGGGGCACCAAGTATGCAAAAGTGAGAAAAACTCAAATAATTATAAAATAAATTCAAAGATGCAAAAATCCAATGTAACCATGATACAAAATATATATTACATTTTATTACAACACTGATTGATTGATCTTGCTTCATCAAATCTTCACACCTTTCGAGAGCTTTATTATGAAAGCTCTTAACAACACCAACATGGCCAGCTAATCTTTCAGTTTTATTCCAACTAGAAAAGCTTTCTGTTACAAATGCATCATTTCCTGCTTGATTTTCATAGTTATCTCTAAACAAATAACAACACAAGCAAAATGCTTTGTCCTCTTTTACACTATATTCTAACCAATTCCCGTACTGATCGAACCAGGCAGAATTAAAACGCCGCAATTTTTTACCAATAATTTTTTTAGGGAAATCATGGCCACGAGGTTGGCAGGGCCCCCTAAGCAAGTATTTTCTTCTTATTTCATCCCTTTGATTGGGATGATATGCTGAATTTTTTTTCCTTTCTGCGGGATCCCAAGGAAGATCATTCAAATCGATTTCTCTAGGCAATGAAGAAGGGGTGTTATTTGATACATTAGCACTTGAACTTTGCCCCGCATCCCCGCTTTGATTGGAAGTAGGCGGTGATTTTCTTTTAAAGAATCCTGTTAGCATTGTTTATCTGTCCAAACAAATTAAATTTTAAAAAATTTACACAAAATACATATGTTTAATCTGGTCAAACAAAATTCCTAATAACTAATAAACTAATAAAGTAGAAGTCATATTTACACCCCAAGAGCCTAAAGTAGATTTACGAAATTCCTAATAAAGTAGATTCACACACAAAATTCAAATTAACTAACAAGCAAAATTACTAGATACATAACATAGTTAAAGATTAATGAAGCAAACTATTAAAAAATAAATGGTCAAAAGTAAGAAAATTTACTGACCTCAAAAGATATAGTGAATGACTAATCGGAAAGTCGAATTCAAGATACAAAGATAAAGAGACGGAGAAGATTGCAATACTACGTTGGCGGCAGAGGGTCGAATTTATTATCACAAAGCCGGATTAACCATTGATGCACTACTGCTCATTCTTTGTTGGCTTTGCTCTCCCAATTGGCACTTCGGTAGACGGAAGAAGGATAGGGAATTAGGGATTTGAAAAATTGAAAGTGAGGTCTTAGGTAGGTGGGCCGTATTGCCTAAATGTGTATTGGTTCAATTGACTAGTCATACTTCTTTTTTAATGAGAGCTTCTATGAATTTAATTAAAAAAAATAAAATTGTAAAAAGATTAAAATTAAGTGGTACTGGTAGGATGTGGCCTGTGGGCCTTGTCAAACTTCCACCATATCTGCATATGGCAGTATAAAACTTCCACCTAGCCTTATATAATTGAGTGTCAATAATGTATTGGGGGCACCTGTTTTTTTCCATTGGGGGCACACCTATTTATTATATATATATACCTATAAATTACACTTAAAAAATGGAAAGCCATTGGGGGCCTGTGCCCCCATTAACACTAACGTGCGTCCGCCCCTGTTTACATTCATTAATTAATACCGAGCATCACAAAATCGTCCACCATATCACAACCTATCTTGTGTATTGTGTTGCCCTGCACAGCTGCACTTCATCTTGCAAGAGGGACGCTTGTAGTTTCTTTATTTTAGTTGATCGACTTGATTTTTTCTAATGTGCCTGAAAATTGAATTTGTGGAATTTAATTTTGAAAGAGATGATGAAATCATGCTTCGACTTTATCTGAGTGGGAGGGATAGTATGCTCTGCTTTATCTATCCGTAGTACGGAGTATATATATGAGTGTGTATGTATATAATATACGGAGTAATATGGAGCATATGTATATGGTCCGTTTGTTAATAGGGAGTATTTTATTATTTTCCAAATAAACATGGTAAAGAGTTTGCGTGTAATTTAAAAATAGATTACATATATAGCCAAACGATGTATTTTTATTTTACACGTAAACTAATTACAGCCCTAAACTTTAAGGGGGCGTTTGTTAAGGTGTAAAGTAATCACTTTACATGCAAAGTGTAGGGATGTAAACAATCAACACCGTTTGGTATGATTATTTAATGCAAACTGTAGGGTAAGTATTTTAAAACATTTTACACTGTACCATGTAAAATACTTTACGTGAGGGAAGGGTGGTAAAATATTTTGCATTCTTAATATAAAATTGATTAAATTAAAATTTTACAAAGATGCTCCGTTTTTTTTCACGCCGAACCTTGCCGGCATATGTGATCGACTCTTACCCACAGATTCTTATCAACGGCAGCACCAACAATTCTACTTTCCATCAATATCGTTGAGAGACCAATAGACATAGTTTCCATTTTTGGGTAATAAACCTCCCGTGTCGATGGATTGATTAGGGAGTTTTTAGATATTAGGAATTATTATGCCACTAATTTTGAATTTCAGGCATATTTTTTTAATTAAAAGGTATGAGTTTGTTGATTATTTTTACCAAATATAAAATAATCACACCTTATGGGTAACATAACATCATTGAAAAATAATTTCTCAAAATGAAACCTTTGTTTTATCGCTCATTAATTAGTTTCTATCAATTTTTTTAAAAATCCAAATACTACTTGCTTGGCTTAAAATCATACGATGACATGTTAAAAGAGCAATTTTAATTTTTAACTGAAACTTTACATGTGAACTTATTTTTTGAGTCAAACAATGCATTTATTTTGCATGTATTTTAAAAATAGATTGCATATCTCACCAAACAGTGTATTTGTATTTTACGTGTAAAATGATTGCATCCCTATACTTTACATGCAATCAGTTCACATGTAAAGTTTTAATGTGTAAACAACCAAACGACCCCTAAATGCAATCATTTTGCATGTAAAGTTTTTATGAGAAATACACGTATGGAGGAATGATTTTTAGGAATGGAGGTAGTATTCGATAAAGAATGTTTATGTTGGAAGTGAAATGGAACAAAAATGAATTAATGTGAAATGCCAGAATATAATATGCATCCCGCTCATGAAAGAGTAATGAATGTAATCGATCTCATATTAAAAGATATTTTGGACCGATTTTATAGTTTTACCGTTAATTTATTGAAAGAGTATTTCACTCATATCATATATAGATACCACATACGTTGAAAGAGAATTTCAATACATTTAGAATAAGAACTAAATTAATTATTAATTTGTCATTTCATTCTTATCATAAGACTAATCAAAGGAATAAAGAATAGTAGTCAAGAGTGTAAAGTGTGTGGAATAAAATTTAGGGCATGTTTGGCACATTTAGATGTAAAGATACTATTACAAATTTTTTAGTAACCATTAGTTTTTAGTGGTTGAAAACATCTTAAAAATAAAATGTGGTAGCTGTTTGATAAAAGACATACTGTTTGATTTAGTTATGTTTGGTATACAAGGTGTTGAGACTAATTAATACTACCTCCATCCCTAAATGTTCTTCCAATGTAAAGTGGCACACGGATTAAGAAAGTGGGAATTGTGTGGTGAAGAGTAGTGTAGAGGAGAGAGAAATGTTGTGAATCACAAATTCTTTGCCGAAAAGGAAAAGTGAAGTTCTTTTTGGGACGAACGAAAAGGGAAAGTTGGAAGTAAATTTAGAGACGGAGGGAGTACTAAACTACAGACTTCTATAAAACAAAAAGTCTGGGGAGCCATAAGAGAGAGAGAGAGATCTCAAGTTCAACTCTAAACAATAACTTGGAATGACACTCCACTCTCTTTCCATCAGAGTGTGATCAAAGCTCAACTTACATCCTCCAAGATAATTGTTTGGTCGATTCTAGGTGCTCTTAGGGATGGGGTGTCAACCTTAACTTTTCTTAGATGCTACTCAGTGTAGAATCTCAAAAAAGATATTTTATTTACTAAAAAAATGTCTTATAAATTATCATGCCAAACATGCAACTAGAAACTTTTAGATTTTTAAATAGTACAAAAGTTATAAGATAAGGACTTATGCCTACCAAACGTGCACTAATCTCGCTCAACATATTTAAAGAGTAATTTAGTTGTCCCGTCCAAATTATTCAATGAGTAATTCAGTGATAATATGCATTGTAATTTTGATGAATTTAAAAGTTTTCCATATATGATCCTCAAAATAGAAGATGGAAATATTGAGAATGTTAGACAGGAATGATCTTCATTCTTATATGCATAATGATATGCTTATTACCATCAAGTAGGCATATATTTTCCGAAATATGTTTTTGTACATAGTCAATTATATAAGGTCATGTCAAAGATCACCTAAAGGAGTGAGATGAAAATTCTTATATATGATGATGAGGTCGTACTATCAACACCACTAATGATATGGTCTATAATGAAGTTTTCTAAATTTATGAAACTTTTTTTAACATGTCAACATATATCATACTCCCTCCGTCCCATTGGACTTTGCCAAATTTTCCCTTATTGGTTGTCCCAAAAAACTTTGTCACGTTCCTATTAAAGCAACAAATTTGTGGTTCTGTACATTTCTCTCTCCTCTGTACAAATCTCAACCACACAGTTTTTACTATTCATATTTCTCATCTACTTTGCACTTGGCAAAGTCCACCGGGACGGAGGTAGTATATGATTAGAATGTATTATGTATAATAAAGTTTCATGACACCCACTAATTATTATACTATCAAGTTATTTAATTGTCACGTAGAACTTAAATTTATACATTATTGTTTATTTCTATGTTACTTTACAATTTATCTACAATCAATTTTTTATTTTGTTACAGCTACTACAACGTACGATAATACTCCGTGTATAATACAAGTTAAAGCATATAAACCCCATCGTCTTTTTTTTTTTTTTTTTTGAAAATTACACATTATTTATCATCGTAAAATCACACTAGCTATTCAATTCTAGATATACCCCGTGCATCGCACGGGTACTTCATCTAGTTTTTTTAAAAATCCAAATACTACTTGCTTGGCTTAAAATCATACGATGACATGTTAAAAGAGCAATTTTAATTTTTAACTGAAACTTTACATGTGAACTTATTTTTTGAGTCAAACAATGCATTTATTTTGCATGTATTTTAAAAATAGATTGCATATCTCACCAAACAGTGTATTTGTATTTTACGTGTAAAATGATTGCATCCCTATACTTTACATGCAATCAGTTCACATGTAAAGTTTTAATGTGTAAACAACCAAACGACCCCTAAATGCAATCATTTTGCATGTAAAGTTTTAATGTGCGAAGTACCAAACGATCCCTAAGTATAATAATCTCAAACATATTATTGTAATATTAAGAAAACGCGTCGTGACCCACAAATACCCTTGGTGGTAGACAAAAATCTCAATTCAAAAACAAATTCTTTATTTTGTTAAGATTCATGTGGTTAAACGAGACATAAGTTATTTAAAAAGCATTGGTTGATGTGTGCCTTTAATTTTAACCTCTTTGCCTTCAAATAATATCATAAAATGTTATATATCCTTTCTTATTTTCAAATAATTTTCCTTTGATTTGTCATTTCTTAAGCTTTAATTTATCAATTTTTTTTCTAGAGCACACATAGTTATTAAAATCAAAGTTATCTCTTCATTGTCTAAAATTAGAATTATAATTTAATAGATAAAAATGTCATTGTGTATGTAGTATGTACTAATGGAACTTTTTGAATAAAAAATAGCCGCAGAGCCCTACATACATTAGCGAAAAAATTCGCCCCGCTACACTATCGAATTTTGTTTCGTCCCGCTTGCCAGCGATTTTTTTTCACTCCCTACACTAATGAAAAAATTTTCGCCCCCCTTGACTCAAAATCTTGGATCCGTCCCTGGGGTGAATCTATCCTACACTAGAGTAGCATATTTATAGTGTGTGGGCCGAGAACTACCCATAGAACCATCCTAGGTAGTCAGCATTATAGTAATGAACTAATAGTAAAAAAATCCTAGAGTTAGCAAAGCTAGATTTTGTGGATCCATAGAGGTCTGAAAGTACTTGTAGATTTGTCTAATGGTTAAATGATGAAGTCTAAGTTGAGAAACAAAATGTTCTTCATTTATACTACCTATGTCCCACTAATATTGGGACGGAAATGAGTGGCGTGGTTATTAAGAAACGTGTGTTTGTGTGGTTGATATTAATTGATAAAGTAAGGATAAAATAAGAATGATTTAAAGCCACAGAAACTTTACCAAATTTGGCATGAGACATTTTAGTGAGATTTCCTGAAAAGGTATAATTAGACAATATTAGCAGGGCGGAGAGAGTATCTAATATCAAGTTATGTCATTGTAAAACATAAAAGGCACATACTACGTTGTGATACTCACGAGGATTTGGTTGGGTTACCATGAGAGAGAGATTTCAAAAGGTGGTGGTGTGTACAAATGCTAATATGTGTTATGTCCGAATTTAAAGAG